CTTCACCACATATATGTGCTTTAATAAAATCATTTGTGTTGACTCACTATGGACTTTCAGTCGTATGTCTCTTCCTCAAAAATCCGAACCACGACAACCCACTGTTGCTACTTTACATACAAAAAGCAGAAGAATTACCAAAAAAACAGTCTAGGAATGTTTTTCATTGTAGTGTTTTGGTTTCTGTGACTAACTGAAGAAAATGTTGTGTTACTGTCTGCGACGTTGTTAACTGCAGCCTTTTCTGGCCTGATAGAAAAAGGCAAGGACAAACAGCACAAAGGCGGATAGAAAGAGGCTGGCTCTGCTTGTGCTGCAGACATAGAACTGCTGAAAATGAAGATGACAATTATCAGTTTCTTGCTTTTCCTGACTATTTGTTTCACACTTTGGTAAAGAAACTGTAATATATGCAATTCATTTGAAATTATCACTTATAAACAGAGTAGATTAAATTAAAAGTTAATTAATTAAAAAGCAAATTGTAAAGTAAGACTAAAGATAACAAATACATTAGCACATACATATAATATGCGACAGGTGTCGCCATGCGACACCTGGCACTTTCTTTTTTTTCAACTTTTCTAACAACAGCCCGAAGACTGGAATTTTAACCCACACCATGACACTTATCTAAGCTCTAACTGTGTCCTTTTGCACCTTGACGTAACTAAACAAGAATCATATTGGTATAGAATTAAGGAAGATTTCTAGAGTTGTATGTGTGGGTTGCTACTGTTTTTCGACAGGTTTCCTGCTGATGTCGTCATCATGGCAAGCAACTGCTCTTCTTCTACAGAACCTTAAATAGTTTTGTTATTTTCCACAGAAATCTGTCTTTCTACATCTTCAAAATCACCATCTGTGACCAAGAAGCATGGAGGCAGAAGGCTGTAATCCTGGTGTAACCATAGATTCAGGTAATCCACTACTAAAAGCAGTGTTTCTCCGTCGCCTGCGGCTCACACGACTGCTCCTGGAAGGGGGAGCCTACATCAATGAGAGTGACAGCCAAGGCCAGACCCCACTGATGGTGGCCTGCCGTACCCAGCATGTTGATGCCCAGAGTGCCAGTCGAGTCAAGCTGATACAGTTTCTTCTAGAGAAGGGAGCAGACCCCAACATCCAGGACAAAGAAGGTCAATCTGCACTGATGCATGCCTGCCGGGAGCAGGCTGGCCCAGAGGTGGTCTCTCTGCTTTTGGCCAGTGGGGCAGACATCAGTCTGGAGGATCAGTCTGGGACATCAGCATTGGTTTACGCAGTCATGACTGGAGACCTAAAGGTGCTGAACTTGTTGCTTGATGCATGCAAAGACAAGGGAAAGGAGGTGATCATCATAACAACTGACAAATTCCCATGTGGTAAACTGCAAACCAAGCAGTACCTCAGCATGCCTCCCCTTCGTCCTCTTGACCAGGCAGAAAAAATGACATTACCAGCTCCTGCATCTCCATCTGAAATCCAGCTCATCACATCTCCCCAGTGCACCTCCTCTACCTTGTGCCCTCCAAAACCAGTCTTTTCTTTTAAAGAAGCACAGATCTGTGGCATAAGCTCCCATCCGTGCTCCCCGTCAAGATTTCGCGGGCTTTGCCAAGCACCTCTAAATGGACTGCAGCAGCCTCTACTGAGGCTGAATTCTGAACCCTGGCTGAAGATCCCAGCATCTCTGCTCACCCAGCAACCTCTTGAAGCTTCAGTCTCAGAAAAAGCCCAGGATTTAAGTCTGACTGATAACTTCTCATTCAGAGTTCCTAGACTGGATGAGGATAACAGCCAAAACTCTGACAGCTACAAATGGTGTGAAGCAAGTAATGAAAAAGCAAGAGATGGAAAAAATGATAGTGCCAAACAAGTTGGACAAAAGATACCACTACCAGGTCTCATTTCATCTCACTCTGCCTCCCATCCTAATCTGCATTCTGAAAACCTTGGTACAGATTCAGTCCCCTCCTCGCTTTCCACTGGTAAAATTCTTGTAACACAACTGCAACCTTGCATGGCTTCATCAAGCCTTCATAATGTCATTCAAAGACGCAAGCTAGGTGCAGACATATACAACTCTGACCCACAAATAGCTGTAAACATTCAAAATGTCCCTGAAGAGCAGAAAGCTAGAGACCTGACAGATGGCAAGAGGCTGGCGCCTTTGCATTCCTCTAGCACAATGGGTTCCAGGGAGTTGGTGTCAGGAACGAGTCAGAGAATCCTTTCTGGATATGAGCGCAGAGGTTCTGGTGCCTTCTTGCTGGATCTTAACTCACAGGCCAGACCAAGATCTCTCCCACCTCTTACTAACACCCCCATCCTTAATGTTTGTAACCTCAGCAATGGAAGTAGTTTTTCTGAGAAAGAGTCTGGCCAAAAGCAATTTTTTCCCTCTGCTCCTCCTGGGCCCCGGAAAGAGCTTACTAGGCGGATGCTTCTAAGAAGACACTCAATGCAGACTGAACAGTTCAAGGCCACAGCTTGAAATCTAGCCAGGATGCAAGAAAAGTGCAAGCGTGTTCCGACGTGAATTCTGTTCTCCTGTGAGCCATGGTGTGTGCATATTAATTGAGGAAAACCAAAGAGTGTATGCAAAATTATTGGATCCTCAGACATTCATGGATTTAACAACATATAAACTATAGATTTTTCTGTGCTTTGGTGTGCTGTCTTGTCAAATAGCTTTAGTGTGCAGTTCTTAAATATAGATCTTCTCTCAAATTATATTTAGACATTTTGGTCACTCGGATGACAGAAAGTCCAGCTAAAAACCTGCTTGTTTGACTTTAATAAATTGTTCTGGTGTAGTATTCAGGGCCACCAGATCCAGCCCTAACTATATGCTTTAGCAAAAAGGAAAATTTTAAGCCTAATGTTAAAAGTAGAGATAGTGTCTGTCTCCTGAATACAAACTGGAAGCTGTTTCCACATAAGAGGGGCCTGAAACTGAAGGTTCTGCCTCCCATTCTACTTTTAAATACTCTAGGAACAAGTAAGCCTGCAGTCAGAGAGCAAAGTGCTCTGAAAAGCATGCTCCCTTTCAGTTGAGTTGAAGTGACTGGCATGGCCACTGCAGAATATACCATTTCTTTATCATGAGGAATTCTTAGGTTGATTTTACTGTAATGCTTTGGGTTGCATTGTATTTGCACCATAAAGTGCTGGCAAATGTGTTTTGCTGCATTTGGCTGAATCTAAGCAGAGTATAGTCAATGCAGTGTTGTGGCATGTGTATGTTAGCACATACCATAACATTGCACAATCTTTGGCAGATAATGTGGTATCCTTCAGACAGCACAGTGACACAGTCCTTCTATATAGTTTTCTTTTCAGATCATTCTTGTAAAAAAAAAAAACTAAAAAACTAAAATGCATTTTTGGAATAAGGCTGTAACATGACAAACTGTGGACCAAGTGAAGCACTGTGAATACTTTCTAGATGTACTGTAATTTTAATTTGGGCTGTTAAAGAAAACAACTATGTTAAATCTTGAGTAATTGAAGTCATTTTTAGACACAGTCCTTACATTCAGGGGCTCAATTGGAATTGAATGATTCCAGTACAGTACTATTGAATACTAAAAACAAGCACACTAAATTGAATTATTTAGTATGCTTTTTCTTTTTTCTTTTTTTTTTTAGGATAGCTCATGTCCAATTTGTACCTTGTTGTTAACCCTCTACATTTTCTCCCATAATGTCTTTTTGGGTAGAAGTAAGGTTATAATACATTGACCTTCCTTTTCAGGGTGTTTAGAAACATTCTTTTATACCATGGAAATGATCCTGTAGATCCTGCAGAATTTGGAAGATCAGTTGTTTTCTTCATTCTCTATGTTCTATGCTAATGATTTGCTATTTTTTTGTTTTAGGTTTAAGGATTGCCTGTTAGGTTGGCCGCAGTAGCTCATGTCGTGTGTTAAAAGAAATGGATTCAAAATGCAAACTGAACTCCAGAATAAACACTCTGGAGTTCAACTGTGCAATTGATTAGAATAACGAAACAATACCCTGCAATTGTCCACCAATGGCTTTTAAAAAAGTGTTGCAGTTAATTTGTACTCTTGAAATTAGGGTATTGTGTATAAAAATGGCTGTAACAAACAGTTAATACAATCTGCTCGATCGTCCTCTTAAAGCTAAAATCTGGATCGTTTCAGTTTATATTTGTTGTTAAGTACAGAATCAAAACTGTCACTGTTCAAATAATTCCAGATCTATGTACGAATTAAATCAGGTAATGATGGGATTATAGTTTCACTTTTATTTCATTACATTTCACAAAAAAGTCCAATGAAATGATTCAACATTCTTCTCAGCTGCAATGTGTTCATGTGCTGCAGATGGTGCATTATATACAGGTTGAGCCATTTATATGGATACACCGTAATAAAATGGGAATGGTTGGTGATATTAAAGTCCTGTTTGTGGCACATTAGTATATGTGAGGGGGCAAACTCCTCAAGATGGGTGGTGACCAGTGTTGGTCAAGTTACTTG